AAAATAAAGCAGCCAATGCACCAATCACATTTGAAAAAATTGTAATGGTTGTAATTAGTTAGGTGAAAACCTCTTTAAATCCTCCTTAGAGAGAAAAGGAGGAACAGAATCCCTCGAATTCCCTTTTGGATTTAAATTGTGTTGATATTTTGAGTTTCTAGCAATATTAACAGATAATGTCGAGCTTTTAATTATAATATCTGAATAGTTATTATTTTACAAAAGTTTACAGTGAAGTTCCTAACCATATGCGTTTTATCTCTACACAGAACTATAGCCAGCTTAAGAATCATCGACAAGGCAAGAAAACAGAAGCCAGTTTTTTGAACTATGACGAACTATCATGAGTGGTTCGTTGATTATTTGGTTAGTTAGCTGGCTTCAGTCCTAAATAATGGAAGAAGCTAAAATATAAATGAATAAAGAGGTTAAGTTTCTAAAGAAACTGTGGTGCTGCGTCGGTGAGGGAGTATATGAAAATAATTTGTTATTATCCACTTAGTTGCTAGTTCAAATTGGCCACCGTAAGGAGTTTCAAGGGCTGACATTTTGAGCGTCAGCCCTTCGCCAGAGCAAATGACTGTCGAAACGTCAGCTTTTAAAACAATATGTGGAGGGCAACTGACATTATCAACTCAGTTGATAAAACTAACCCGCAAAACCGAACCAAACCAAAACCAACAAAAACCAAACCTTCGTGCTGAAGTATTAAGTTTAGTGAGATTATATTTTGCGCGGATAATGAAAAAGTGCAGTTATATCTTTTATGTTTCTTTGTTTAACGAAAAATAAATTTCGCTGTTAAATTATAACGAATAAATGGAAATCAAATCAACGTGTTAAGGTTTAGGAAAAATTTTAATGAATTGTTATGTTGTTTCTCAGTGTCATAAACTTTTGCCAGGTTTAATTAGCCAATTAACCCGCCAACTACACAGCTACTACACCTTACATGACCTGTGATTTTCGTTCTAGTCCCTACGAGTTTCAGTCCCACACATCCATGGCACGAAAACTTTTTCTCTAATCGAAAATCTGTCTCTGTATGAATGACGTTGTCAACAATGCCATTCTGTGGTAATTTTCCATTCAAGTGCTGCCATCTGACAAACAAAGTTTCATGTATCAAGTCACGGTTAAAGATTTGCCAAAAGGATGGTAATTTAGAAAACGTGTTTACAAAATACATCAGTTGTATTCAATTCAGAGGGTGTTACCAAACTTAAAAAAAAACTTTGTGCCGTTTTAAAGTTTTAAAAACTCGCCTTCACCGTTCACAATTGATAAACATCAAGAAACTCAAAGGTTTCAAATCTTGATGGCTAACCAATAATTTTTCCACCAATCACTTTAGATCTTTCGATTAAACTGTTGATAAAGATTGGGCCAGTGTTATCACGCAAACCATTCACACAGTTTTGTAAGATCTAGATATAAAAGTATGGTGCATTGAATCGGAAATCAAGGAGAAAAATTGAAAATTCGTTTTAATTATTGGCGGCGAAACTCTGTCCGTGAATGATTTCACTGTTGCAAACTTCTCTGAGGCATGACTTTCATATCAGGGAGGGAGAAGACGTATAATTTCAACAAGGGTTCTGAGCGATTTAGTGGGCGATTCCAAGATTTTTGGTGGCTACTCTCCAGATGCATAATTTTGTTCACGTTGACTGTCTTGTTGGGAAGATGTTCGTTTACATTGGCACATCAAGGTAAGGCGAATTCTGAAAAGAAAAAAGTCAGCTTGCTTATATTCCTGAACTTGAAACTTACAGTGACAAAAAAATATTCGGAGCTTAAAATCAGATAAAACCCCACGGAAGATAGTTTCTTATCATTTATCTTTTCCTTTTTATACATTCAAGCTGTGTACAAGTTATTTTTGTATATTGAATTATTGCGGATTTTAAAGATCTGTTGCAACTGGGAACTCGTCAAACCTGGCATTTTTCCTTTTGAGAAAAAAGCTCAAGAATACTCTGTAATAATTTCATTTTTTTGACAACCCTTTTTCTCAGCATGTTAAAGAACCAACCCAACATGACTTGCCTGCGAGGACCGGCCGGCAGCTATATAAACAATTCTGTGTTGTGATTGACAGATGTTTATTTTCATATATTTGAAGAAGAAAAAGCTCTTGCCTGGCTAAGGAACCGTCACATTTTTTTTTCAAGCTTTCAATGAAAAGCTCATGGCCACTATACCAGGAAAGCAGTTTGTGTGGCATCAATCTAAACTGTGTAAACTTTCGATTCAAAGCGTTCATCCAAATGCAAATGATTTGTTTCAGATTGAGAACAAATCATCGCCATACTCTTTCCGGCAGCATTTGCTTCAATACAAGTATACGTATCTGACTGAACAACGAAGGGCCTTCGCTTCAGATTCATTATATTACAACTGTCTTATCCACGTTATTCTAAGTTCGCACACAATAATTTGAAATAGTGGTAACGTCACTATTCATCAACACGCAGGTGACCGTCAGATTAGGCATAATTTGAATAAGAAACAGGGACAATTTTTTTTATATTACCTGGTTCCTTGGGTTAACATTCGCTGTAAAGAAAACGCCTCGCATTGTTATGCAATTTGAAGCAAAAAACTTACATGAATTAAAAACTATTTGAAAACCCTATCTTCAATCGGAAATGATTCTTTCACGATTTTGGGAAATGATGGTAATCGTGATGGAAACTGCAAATTAAGTCACCAAACAATAACCACAAGAAAAACAAAAACAACAACATAAAAAATTCCTCTGAAATGGCAAGTCCTGAGCTCAAAGGCAATAATTCAGGTTCACAGTACTGTTAAGTCTTAAAACTGGAAAAATATGAAGAAAAAGTGCTGCGGGCTCAACTTCTAAATTGCTTACTAAATTTTGGGAAAATTGTTGTTAATATAAAAAGACATTGAGGCACATGAAAGGAATATGCCGACCCGTAATTTGTAACATAAACTGCCATTAACTACTTGGCAAAATGCTAGGCTACTAATCACCCTTTACAGAAAAATCTTTGTAAGTGTCTTCCTTTTAACAATTCTTTTATTATGGCTTTGCATTCAGTGTCGTGTTTCCTGACATGAGGTGTTATAAAAAAATTAAAAAAAAATAAATAAATAAAAAGGAGCAAAAAAAAAAAAACAACAAAAAATACTACTTCCTACGGTTGCCAATGGAGGCGGTGCTAAAACAATATGCGCTTGTTACATGACCGGTGCCCAGCACAGTTAGCTTTCATTTCACCGAAACACATCGCGAATCCTTATTAGACCCTTGTGTAAACAGCAATTATCATATAACATAAATATTCAACAAGGTGAATTTAACACTCAGTTCATATAATACGTTTAACTCCATTCACGGATGGCTTTGCTAAAAAGAATGGCTGCAAGCCAGCCATGACTGTTGTCACTGAATTTTATTTCGTGGTACGCAACTGAATTTGATTTCTTGGAAAAGTAAACCATACTTCGATTACGAGTTTGCACGCTTTGGAAGGCGATTGCACGAAATATGTCGTACTTTCTTTCAAGATGCTTAAGTTTGTTAACAGTAACCTTTATATTTAGAGGACCGCTGCTTACATCAGCCGTTAAAGGTAAGATCTTTCATGGTACAAGTGAAATTTTTAAACATTACCACAACATACACGGACATTTGCAAAATACGCGGATATACTTCAATCGATTGGCAATATCGAATCAGAATTCAAAACGCTTCTTCAAAAGTGAAAGAAAGCTGTTATCACTTCACCATTTACGTCATTGTGGTGTTGGGTGAAGATTGCAATACTGAAATCAAGGAAAAAAAGATATTGTTTTTTTTTCCCAACAATCTTTTTCCTGTAATATTTTACATATTCAAGCAAGTACAGCCCCTCGATTACCGAACACCTGCTGTGTTGAGATGGATTAGTTGTCATATTATGACGTACGTTTTCGTTTTTCCTTTCCTTATCTTTCTTAAGATATATAGAAATTATAAATATTTTTGTTAAGCTGCCAAAAAAGGGAAAATAATTCTAATCGGAAGGAATTCAAGAAACTAAACTGTCACGCTACGTTTTTCATGACCCTCACAACACGCGTGCTGTCTTAATTAATTTTACCACATGCGCTTATTTAAACAGCAGACTTACGTAAACATAATCAATCTTTCGTGGGGATGAGTTCTAAACTGTTTTCATGAAAAGTAACCTTAAATTGTTGCACTTAAGTCACGATCATTCTAGGATCAAATCAACCACACGTTACAATGATTATAATTTCGAAATTTCCACAACATGAAAAGGATTGATGGTGAAATTGTGTAAAGAAAAGATATGCTTACACCCTTAAACAGGTGTATGGTTACTGGATTACTGCTAATGGGTGCTTTTCGTGTCTTACATAAAAGTTAATAAGGTTCCCTAGAGCTGACAGCTTCTCTGTGGTCAGCCCGGTCAGTCGCTCGCCCGCTGAAAGACATTTCTCGTTTACCTTTCAAATTTGCATACATTTTTTTGCCATCGGTTAAAGAGAAAAACATTGGCCATTCTTATGGAAATTGTACCTTTTTGTTATACTACAACGGCATATAATAATTAGGTGAGTTTGGTCGAAAAATGATTCGTGTGCGTCTTGACATTAATTTATGCACATGACTTGTGGGTGCATTAACAAATACTTTGACATATTTTATTACTAAACGATTTTATTTAGCATGTAAAACAGTAAGTGCAGGCAATGTTGTGTTTTCGTTTCAAGCATTGCCATAAATTTTTGTTGATCATAGAAAATGACTGTTTAGTCATGTTTCGCTTTATCTTTAGACTGTCCTTTTGAATGGAGAGCTTTTGACAGCTCATGCTACAAGATCATGACCAACTTTCTTTTCTCAACGAAACTTAGCTGGGGCAATGCTCGTTCAGTGTGTTTAGGATTTGGCGGAGACCTTGTTAGTATAACAAACAAAAAAGAGATGGATTTTGTTGACGAGATATCGTCAGGTATCGGAAGTGAACTAATTTGGATTGGTTTGATTGACTGGCTCCATGATGGTGAATTTGCCTGGAGTGATGGTACTCTTTTCAATGGGTCAGTTTACAATAACTGGGCAGGGAGACAACCAAGTGGAGGAGAATACTGTGTTGCCCACAGCATAAGCGAAAGACGATGGCATGACTATCCTTGTTCTCATACTTTTGATTACATCTGTGAGAAGCCGAGAGGTAGGCGCAGTGATCACCTTTTCTCTGTATGTCTATTGTTTAATTTCGAGTTTGAAGAAAATTTTGCAAAGTGGAATGATCACAATTACAGTCGATGATTACAATCGAAATAAGAATAGCAAATAAACTGTCAACAATCAGTCAAGAGAAAGGCCATTTCTAACAGTGTTACGAAGTTATTTATCTGCTCAAAATCTTTTGAGACAATTTCTTGCTGCACATGTAAATGCACATATAAATGATGCTTGAGAGCTTCTGAGAGAAATTTGAACAAAATCTCACCTTAATCCTTCCTTTAAAAATTTTTCAGTTTACATTTTTCTTTATTCTCATCTCTATTCAGCTTGATATTTTATGGATACTTGGTGTCAAGTAAAGATTTAAAGAGAACTGTCGGTGCAGTCTCAGGAAAGAGTAAAATGTACATAAGAAAATCAAACAAGCTTTATTGTGTCAACTACATCTTGCTTCCTCTATAGGCAAACTTCCGTGTCCTTTCACTTGGTATTTTTATGGCTCGTCATGTTACAAAGGAAGTAAATCTGTTTCGTCTTGGAAAGCTGCAAAAGAGGACTGTCATGTATCTGATGGGTATTTGATAAAAATAGACGATGCACCCGAGAACAATTTTACGAAAGTCTTCCTCCAGATCACAGGACTTACAACGACAAACGAGGTAATATTTCCATTACTACCGATAACAGCCCTTAACGTTATTAATGAATAGTTGACTGCTGATAGAAATCTAGTGCTATTTACTTTAAAGTAAAAGTATAACGTGCACTTGAGCCGAGTGACTCACCCAGCCGGAGCTTATGCCGGTCTCCTCAGCATGAAGTGACTAGGAGTAGCACCACTCCCCTCTGAAATGGGATACTAG